CTGTGGAGGCACAGACTGATGGCCAGAGAAATAGAGTAATGCTTATTAATCAGGGAGCCAGGCTGACAGGGGAGAGCCTGAAGAAGGCTTTTCCCCACTTCTTTTAAAAATACTTGCTCTGACCTTTTTTTTCCCTAAAGCAAATAAATTGGTGAAGGTACCAAGAAGCATGAGGAAAAAGGCTATAATTTTAAATTGATTTCACAGAATCACAAAATTAATTAGATTGGAAAAGACCTCTGAGATCATCAAGTCCAACCTATGACCTAAGATCATCATGTCAACTAGACCATCACACAAAGTACCACATCCAGTCTTTCTATAAACATCTCCAGGGATGGTGACTCCACCACCTCCCTGAGGAGTCCACTCCAACGTCTAATCATCCTTTCTGTGAAGAAATTCCTCCTAATGTCCAACCTAAACGTCCCCTGACGCAGCTTGAGGCTATATCCTCTTGTCCTGTTGCTAGGTGCCTGGGAGAAGAGACTAACCCTCACCCAGCCACAACCTCCTTTCAGGTAGTTGTAGAGAGTGATAAGGTCTCCCCTGAGCCTCCTCTTCCCCAGCAACCTCAGCTGCCCCTAGCAGGACTTACCGTCTAGACCCTTGTCCAGCTTCATTGCCCTTCTCTGGACTCAGGTCCTTCCTGAACTGAGAGGCCCAAGACTTAAGGTGTGTCTTTAACCAGTGCCAAATATGGGGAAAATTTCAAACTGCGATTCAATTTCAAAATTGGATCCCTCACCATAGCTAAGAATTGATTTTGTTAATGCGAAAGTTTTACAATCTTTCAATCAGCTCTGATTAATAAATAGAATTTAGTACACTGAATAACTCCAGTCTCATTAAAACTTGTTATGAGCCTCCTGCAGCTGAGGAGAAGGGATAATATGCCACGCAGAGGTGGTTATTCTGATTTGTGATCTATATATGAATACAGATACTTACTTCTATGGGAACAGGATCGAGCCCAGCACAGTTTTCATTGCATTTGTCATAGACTAATCTCAGTTTTCTGAAGAGTATTGATAGCTGACGAAGATGTTCCTGCAGCTTTCCCAGTCTGTCTTGATATGTCCCAGTATGATAAGTAACACCATTTGGTAACTTAGAGAAGCAAAACATTAAAATATTAAAGTTTCTGTCACATGAAATAAGTGAACTAAAAGAAATCAGTGTGGTTTTGTGCATTTTAACATAAGACAATCAAATTATTCCCACACCCAATCACTGAAACTTTTGTTTTCTTTACCAGCAAAATCCTTTTTTTGATGTGGCCAATCACTGCTGTCAAACAGCTTCATATATTCTATACTTTGGTCATTGTCAATCCCTCTCTTTTCTGAGTGTCTTCACAATGCTCAAGCATGATGCTGTGGTAATCCAAGTATTACACTTTGAAACTTTGTGGCTCAACCCCAAGCCACACAATTCAGTGACATGAGAGTCAGGAAAACAGAAAGGGAATGGGAGTGATTATTTATCTTCTGCTCTCCACAGAGAAAACACAATCAGAGTTTGCATGTTTTCTCAGTAAGTAGCCACAAGTAAGGATTATGTCCACTTTAATAACAAAAAGAAATGTCAAAAAGTTTCAGCTGGAAAATATTACAGAAAAAGATCAATGAAGATTCCTCTAAAATTACTCCCCATATGTTACCATAAGCAGAGAAACATAACTACCATATAAAGCGACTGTTATTCATAAAGGGAAACACAGTCACTATGTCTATGTAGTGTGTGTTTACTGAGGGGGCAGTAACAATTCAGCATTTCCGAATCTTCTCTCTCTTCACGTACAGGCGCAAGAAAATATATTGAGAGAAGTATTCACTTTTCCAACCCATCCTCCTTTTCAAGCAGTTTTGAGCAAGTTATCTAAGTGTCCTCAGCCATCTCCTGTGTCTATATATACACACATCCTCGCAGTTGGTGAGGAAGACGTGGGAAGCGGAGGGCCATAAAAACAAAAAGCTGTTTCTCACCTGCATGTTGCGCAGTAACTGGAAGATTTCCATGGTTCGGAACACGATGTCCTGCACGGTCTCCTGGCCGATGCGGCAGAGGGAGGCTGTGTTCACCTCCCGCGCCGCCTGAGCCTGCGAGCCCGAGAAGGCTCCCGGGGGCATGTTCGCCGCCAGCGGAGGGGTGGACATCTCCGCGCCGGGACCAGTGACCGGG